CTCTGGAATTCCTTCATTCCATAGTCAAGGCTGACACACTAAAAACAACTGTTTTTTTTCAAACTAATAATTCCTCTTTAACCAATTGATCATTGAACATGCTGCCAATAATAAATTCAATTAATTTTACTGACCTTGAGTTGGTCACTGGCAGTGTTGAGTATATTTTCTACCTTGTCCAGATTCTCAGCTGGAATAGATAACTGACATACTGGATCAGACATTTCAGGTTTTCTGGAAACCAGCAAATGCGAAGAAGTTCTTTTGGAAAAAGTAAGTGGTCCAACAGGCAAATCTGTATTTGAAACAGATAAAGCAGGAGTCCTATGATGAACTTCCTGGTCTGTAAAATGGAATCAGAAAATCTGGTATGAATGTGCAATGGATGGTCCATACATGAAAAAAAGTGTACCTAAATCTGTTTATGAATATGAATTGAGTGCCATACACAAGATTTAGTCCTTAAAACGACCCATCATTTTGATTATATATCCAAATTGAAGTTTCCAAATAACAGTAAACTTTTTTACTCAAAATTTCAATACAGTAGAAATGCCACTGCAATATTACTGGGAACTAGTAATCTAACAATACATATAGAAGGAATATACAGCCAACAACCAAAAAAAATCCACTGGGCATGCCTTAAGAGAATCTCACTATTTATCAAATGTAAACTTCATAGTGACATCATAATTGTTAAACACATCATAATGGATGTCATAATTAGTAAAATGTTAAACAGACATTATACAATACAGATCATAACCAAGATAAAAGACAATTATAATCTGTATTTAAATTCCTATTGTTGAATATCAGGATCCCTTAAAAACGATATTTACTGTGTAACATGAGATTTCATTTAACAGCTATTACATAGTACTTAACATTCAAAAAATCTAACATATGAAAACAAAGGGAAGAATTACAAAAACAGTGGCCACAATCTCCATTGAACTAGCATCAACAATTTGATACCTTATTATTGAAAATAAATAGTAGATCCTGAGAAAGACGAATGGTAATCTAAACCTTAGATGAAGGCGGGTAAGGGGACAACAATCATCCAACACCACAAGGTGCTGTCCTTTGGTCACTGGCCAAAAGAATTCAAAATTGATCGACACAGGGCATGATTTCTGCCCTAGAAAAATGATATAACAAGTGGTTTGGCTACAGGAAAATTCTGAGGGCAGTAATACAGACTTTGTAGACAGCAGTTCTCATCAGAGACAGAAAATGGGCCAGAAGTAGAGGAGGAAGACTGGAGGGAAGTATTTCCCAATACCCTTGGCTAGAGAACAGGATGCTGCCCCCGCCACTTCAATTAAACCAAAACATTCTGTGCCAACTATCTGCTTGTCGTGTGATATCAGTAAGTCATCCACAACTGTCACAGCTGTACACTTTATTCAATTAAAAGCATGCATCGTATTAAACTGCTGCTTTTTAAACTCTGTAAACTAAAATTACTTGCAAATCTTCAACTACCGATATTAGTTAACTATGAGCATGAACCCCTAAAAAAACACCAATGAAACAGTCAAACAGCTTTAACCAATTTAAAGTTTCAAAAAATACTGGAACAGTATGGATTTAGTCAACAGACGCCCATACTACAAATGTACCAGTGGAGGAAAGTCAAGATTATTGAACACAACCTCAAGGACACAAGAAAACTTAGGAAGAGATGTTTAGGCCCACGAACCAATCCATTCTTTTCCTTTTGGTTAGATTCCAACCCGATCTCTCGTTGCAGACAAAACCTTTTCTTGCTTCTTTTGCCCATTGGTACAAATCTACAATTGCAAGCTCTGGTAACAAGTCTAATCATCTACCATAATCTCTACATTATTCTCCACTATAATACTATTTCAATGGGCTGATCTATGCTATGATCTGGAATTTAAATGCCACGTGCCAGAACTGGTATATATTGATGTCAAAGACATTAACAAGAGCTCCAGAAGATGAATGAAACCGACTGCTTGATTGTTATATAATCAGGCTTTTATCAAAGTTATTTTTCTGGAAAATTTAAATGAAAAATACATTTGCAAATAAAGGACATCCCAGCATTTGGCTATGGGAGCACAATACAGGGGAATAGTTAGTCACAAAATGGCCAAGTTCGATGAAATGCACCCCTTATCATTTCAGTAATAGCTTGATACATGATACAAGATTAAATGAGCTAACTAAATGGCAGTGGTAGAATGTGAATTCAATAAAAATCTGGAATTAAGAGTCTAATGATGATCATGAAACCAATGTCGATTGTTGGAAAAACCCATTTGGACCACTAATGCAGACAGAGGGGGGATGGGGTAGTGGTAGCATGGCAAACTGACCTCTACATCACTGAGGCCAGACGCCAACTCTCGACACCTTCTCCTACCATCCCCTCAATCAAGAGTCCACCTCTGATCACCCAGACCATCAACAACCTCATCACCTCAGGAGATCGCATGTCCACAGCCTCCAATCTGATAGAAACGGGTGGTGCGGGGTTGGAGAACTCTCTCCTACCCACGATCCATTAAACCAGACTGCCCCAGTTGACCCATTGTCTCTGCTTGCTCCTGCCCCACGACACTCATCTCTTATCGACTCTGTTCTTTCCCCTTTGGTCCAGGAACTCCCCACCTATGTTCGGGACACAACACACACTCTCTACCTTTTCCAAAGCTGGCCCCCAACACCTCATCTTCACCACAGACGTTCAGTCCGCCTACACTTGCATCCCTCACGAGAATGGCCTAAAAGCCCCTCACTTCTTCCTCTCCCCTAGGCCCACCCAGTCCCCCTTCACAGACACACTCATTCGCTTGGTTGAACTGGTTCTCACCCTCAACAATTTTTCCTTTGATTCCTCTCACTTCCTATAAACCAAAGGGGTGGCTTTGGGCACCAGCATGGGCCCGAGCTAGGCCTGCCTCTTGAGATTCGTGGAACAGTCCCTCTTCAACACACCAACACCATTCCCACCTCTTTCTCCGCTATATTGATGACTGCATTGGTGCTGCCCCGTGCTCCTGCGAGGGGCTTGAACAGTTCATCAACTTTGCCAATACCTTTCACCGCACCCTCAGATTCACCTGGACCATTTCACTTCTCCGTCTCCATCTCTAGTAACCGACTCCCCACTGACATCCAATTCAAACCCACTGATTCCCACAATTACCTCAACTACACCTCCTCTCATCCACTCTCCTGCAAAAATTCTATCCTATACTCAATTTTTCCATCTGCTCCCAGGGTGAGGTGTTCTGCTCTAGGACTTCCCAGATATCTTCCACTTTAGAGACTACAGTTTCCCAATCTGTTATTAAAGCTTCCCTCAACCGCATCTTCCTCATTTCCCGTGCTTCTGCCCTCAAACTCTCTTCCCCCCCAACAATAAGGATAGAGTGCCCTTGGTCCTCACATTCCACTAACCTCTGAATACAACGCATCACCCTCCAATATTTCTGCCACTGACAATCAGACCCCACCAATGAAAGAATATTTTCCTCCCCAGCCCGTCCACTTTCCACAGGACCGTTCATTCAATGACTCCCTCATCAGCTCCACACTCCCCACTACACCCAGTACCTTTCTCTGCAACCACAGGAGGTGCTACACCTGCCCCCCACCTCCCCTCTCACCTCTGTCGAGGCCCCAAACAATCCTTCCAGATCTGGCAAAGATTCATCTGCACTTCATCTAACCTCATCTAACTGTATCCGTTGCTCCCCGTGTGGTCTCCTCTATATCAGGGAGACCAAACGTAGACTTGGGGACTGGTTTGTGGAGCAATCAACCCAACTTTCTGGTTGCCATCCACTTTAACATCCTCTCTAACACCCCCTCCCACTCCCCTAGTGACTTGTCTGTTCTTGGCCTCCTCCACTGTCAGAGTGAGGCCAAACAAAAATTGGAGGAACAATACCTCATATTCCGCCTTGGGAGCTTACAGCCCAATGGCATGAATATAGACTTCACCAGCTTCAAAATCTCTCTTCCCCCAACATCTTCTGACTCACTTATCCACTCCATCCTTCCCACTGACCAACCACAATAACTCCCTACCTGTATCCACCTACCTTCATCTCACCTATCCTCCTCCCAGGCCCACTCCCCTCCCTCTATTTCTGGGCTTCCCTCCCCCTCCCCAGTCCTGAAGAAGGTTATCGGCCCAAAATGTTGACTTCCCTGCTCCTCGAATGCTGTCCGAGCAGCTGCGCTTTTCCAGCTCCACATTTATGGACATTAGCTTCCAGCACCTGCAATATTTACTGTCTCCGTGCCATCCTTGTCTGGTCTGCCTACATGTGACACCAGACCCACAGCAATTTGGTTGACTCTTAATCACCCTCGGAGATGGGCAATAATGCTGGCTTAGCCAGCAACACCCTCATCCCTCGAGTGAATAAAAGTTCTCATTAAACTAAAATAAAACTTTTGAAATGGAGTAGCTTAGAATTGGATGATATTACGGCACATTTCAAATATAGAACATTAAGAGTTTAAAACTGTTTGTTCAGGGGGATGCACAACTTGCTCAATCCAATTTAAATGAGGGGAATTCTCTAGTATTTAGACCAACGTTTCTTAAATCAAAACCACTTCAATCAAATTACCTGGCTGTTCATTTTTTTTTTCTTGTTTTAGGGACATTGAGGCAGTCAAATTGGCTCCAGTGTTAACCCAATGAAGATGACAAATAAGAGATAGTGCACACTGCTAGAAAGTGGAAGAAAAACAAACACTGTTGGAAGGATATAGTGGTCAACCACTCCATGACTGCAGAGGTCAAGGAAGACAAAAAGATGGAGAATACCACATTACAGTCAGTTAAACAATTATTTTTAGTTGAACCTCACCAATTCCACAAAGACAGTGGAAATCAAAGTCTGGAGATTCGAGTGTGGGGTTTGAAGGTGGGTAAAATTTGATACTCAATAGTGGAGCAAAGCACAGCTGGAAACTGATTGGAGGCTTGCAAAGACAAAGAAATTGACAACAGGTCTGAGTGATGATGGTGCACAATATTCAGGCCATCTAACCGTAAACCAAAGTCCTCAGAGTGCTCAGTCACATGAAAACTCAAGCAATCAAGCCAAATATTTTGGTAATTATCACTCCTTTCAAATGGTGAATTAAACACACTCCCAAATTTGAACAGAATTAAAATGGCCCCGAGTCCATACTCTTGCAGGTTATAGAACTTTAGGGGCAGATCTCGGTTCCTGTTAAATGACTTTAGGGTTTTGCCTGAAACAAACAAATTCTAGCAACTCCTTTCAAGAAGTGTCTTCTCCCCAACACCTTGTCCCCTTCCCCCCGCACTCCCCCACCCACCACCCCACAGACCCTCCAACTTGTCCAGATTGAATTCTATTGCCACTTTTCCACGGACTCAACCAAATCATGATGTCCTATGGTTGACAGCCATCCCTTCCACTAAACTGCCCGGACAATTTTTGCGTCAGTACATTTTCCATTCAGGCTTCCCATTAATACATGCCACACACAAGGGACCCAAAATTGAGCCCTCAGTAACACCACTGAAACCGCTTTCCATAAACATCTAGACAGTATTACCATTTACTTCATGTCACCGAGCCAATTTTGGATCAAACTCGTCACATTTCCCCTATCCCACAGAATTAAATTTTTCCAGTCTACCATGCGGGAGCATTGTCAAACTCCTTGCTAAAATCCATGTAGCTGACATCCACCGCATTACACTCAATTGCCCTTGTTACTAACTTAATTGAAGTTTTTGAAGATGTGAGACACTATGTTCCCATGCTGAATATCACTGAATAACCCACAACTCTCCAAATATCAGTTAATCTGGTCTTTCAATAATGATTCCCATAATTTGTCCACTAGGGTCAGACCGACAAGCCTACAATTACTTGGTCTATCCCTCGTGTCCTTTTTGAATAATGGTATGCAGAGCTCCAAATCCTCTGATACCTTGCCTGTATCAATTTGGAAAATGATCCTTGAAATATGAGCCAAAGAACAAAGAAAATTACAGCACAGGAACAGGCCCTTTGGCCCTACAAGCCTGCGCCGATCCAGATCCTCTATCTAAACCGGTCACCTATTTTCCAAGGATCTGTATCCCTCTGCTCCTTGCCCATTCAATTAACTGTCTAGATACATCTTAAATGACGCTATCATGCCCGCCTCTACCATCTCTGCTGGCAACGCGTTCCAGGTGCCCACCACCCTCCACTTTCTCCCTAGCTTCTTTTAACAGCTTAGAATACCATACATCCAGCACTAGTGATTACTCCACTTTCAAAGAGGTCACTGGCTCCATTATTTCACTTCACATTATGCCTATTTTGTCCAAAATTTCACATTGTGCAACTCATTTAGAAACTTGCTCTCATTTTCTGCATCCACGACACAAGTTATGATGTACATCTCTGATACAGCCAACCCTCAAGATTAGTCCTGCTCTTAAACATTCTCATTAAGCATATTTGGAACTTCCTCAATTTTAAAAGCCAATATTTTGTTGCAGCTCACCTCCATACTTGCTATACTCTACGCTTCCAAGAGAATTATTTTTATTGAGATTGTTACAATCAGAATCCCTACAGTGTGGAAACAGGCCCTTCGGCCCAACAAGTCCACACTGACCCTCAGCACATCCCACCCAGACCCATCCCCCTATAACCCACCTAATCTACACATCCCTGAACACTATGGGCAATTTAGCATGGCCAATCCACCTAGCCTGCACATCTTTGGACTGTGGGAGGAAACCGGAGCACCCGGAGGAAACCCACGCGGACAAGGGGAGAACATGCAAACTCCACAGAGTGCCTGTGGGTGGAATCGAACCTGGGTCCCTGGTGCTGTGAGGCAGCAGTGTTAACCACTGAGCCACCATGCCGCCTCCAAAAAGTAGCAGAGCAATACTTGCATTTCCTGACCAGGAAGCGAACTTGGGCCGCGGCAGTGAGAGCGCTGAATCCTAACCACTAGACTGCCAGGAAAGGCGCCAGGTGTGCGTGCATATTTTCTCAATTACAAGTTCTATTTTTCTGCTTTGTCTTGCATAATGCGCTTCTTTGTAAGCGGGGACTCTAGATATGGCAGTATCAATCTCTCTGAGTAGACAGAAGTCTATACTGTGCATATGGCACCTCCCTTTTGAATATCTCCCACTGGTTTCCCTTCAGTTAGCTGTAGCATTTGGCCCACTTTTGCCAGATTATCTCTTAAATTCATAAAGTATACCTTCCTGATAATCCACTTTTGCCTTCCACCAATGATGCTAAATCCAACCATATCAGGATCACCATCTGTAAAATGGTCATCCACCACTACTTCATTCACCTACTCAGCTACATTTCCAAAGACTAAATCTCTCACTGCACTGGTTACATGCTGCTTAAAATAGCCCTTTTGAATGCAGTTCAGAAATTCTGCGCCCTCTGTGCCTTTCACATTGTTTGTACCTCACATTAAATATGATTGAGGCCCCCAATTTTTCCTTCAAATGAAATCTTCAACACGGATATTTGACAACTGTTAAGCCTGCTCCACCATTTAATACAATCATGACATTTAGTCACATCGTTATTCTAAAGTTAGCTGCAAAGGCCTGAAGACCTAACCAAATGTTACGCTCCACTTATTCCCAATCAGCATAAAATGTACAAAAAAATACATTGAAACTAATGGAATGATACATTGTTTTGAAAGAACATACTAACGTCCAGATCTAGCGTCTACGTAGTACGCTTATAAAAGCCTTAAAACCCCACTTGCTTAGCATTTGCTGCTTTCTCCTAGATATTTTGGAGACTACAAAAAGTGAGTCCCAAATTTCAGAATATTTAAGTGATCAGTTTGTGATAACTATAAAACAAAAATAAAAATGCTGCAGAAACTCAACAGGTCTGGCAGCATCTGTGGGGAGAAAAACAGAGTTAAATGTTTCGGAGTCCAGTATGACTCTTCTAGACATTTTTTTTTATTTCAGATTTCCAGCACGCACACTCTTTTGCATTTATTATTATTAAATGATCCTGAATGTGTAAGTTTTTTGAATATAAAGACTTGAACAAACCCAAGTATGTTTCAAAATGTAACAGGCTTCCCACAGCCTGCAAGTGTAAAATCATCTTTAAATCCAGCTGCCCCAAAGTTAACATTTTTGCAAACAATACACTATATTACAGTAATAGTTCAGTTCAAATACTATGATCATATCAGAAGTCTATCTTGCAGAATGATACAGCACAGAAGAAATCAGTCCCAAATCCCAGTTTCTTGAATAAGACAGTTGTCCAACTAGATCCACTCCTCTTTCCCCAAAGGACCAAAATTTCTTTGAATTTATACCTTCTGGTAGTTTTTTTACTGTTGCTGCATCAGGTTTGTCGGAGACCATTTGTATGTCTGCAGTCTGCTGTCTGAAAGCATTTTCATGTCTTTCTTCTAAAGTTGCACCTACTTGAACATCAATTCAAGTGTTAAATTCACAAACTACTGGCATTCTATATACATTGTAGCAAACAAAATAGTAGTGATTGATTCCAGCGAATGTAACAGGTATAATACTAAAAGAAGCTCCATTTAAAAATAACAGCAGAAAGCAAAACCTCCTTTTCCCTTAAGGCCAAACTAATCAAATATATGGTGCGGAAGTGGTAGTGTGCAAGCTCATTCATAGTTCAGCAGAAGTTTGTTTTCTAGTTTCTTGGAATTAATCACTATTGTCATCATTTAATCTAACTTTGAATATTCAAAGTGAAACAACTTAGTGGAGAAATTGGCAATTTTCCCTTTTAACATGAACAAAAGGGTGGGCCACTCGGCCCTTCAATAAGATCATGGCTGACCCAATTTTAACCTCAGCTCTACATTCCTGCATATCTCGGATAATCTCCCATCCCTTTAATACTCAAAGATCTACCTACCTCTGCTTTAAAAATATTTGAAGAGTTGCATCCACTGCCTTTTGAGGAAGGGAATTCTAAAGACTCCACCCTTGGAGTGAAAATTTATTCTACATGTCTTAAATGGATGACCCCTTACTTTTAAGCTACAACCCCTAGTCATAGATTCTCCCACAAGAGAAACCAGCCTTTCCACACCCACCCGATCAAACTCCCTCAGGGTCTTGTAGTTAGTCACCTCTAGCTCTTCTAAACTCAAGGATACAGGCTTAGCCTGTCTAGCTTTTGCTCATAATACAATCTAGTAATTCCAGCCAGATGTAGTCTTACCACAAAAGCAGAATATAGGAGCAGTAGAAGACTATTTGGCTCAAGCCTGCTCCACCATTCAACGTGATCAGAGCTGATCATCCAACTCTGTACCCTGCTCCTGCTTTCTTCCCATACCCTTCAACACCTTTAGAATCAAGAACTACGTCCGTCTCCTTCAGGATATTTAATGCTTTGACTTAATCACTTTGTGGCAAAAAAATTCCATAGGCTCACCAATCTCTGAATGAATAAATTTCTCTTAATCCAAGTCCCAAATGAAACATTCCATATCCTTAGACTGAGACCCCTGGTTCTGGACCACCCTACTCTTGTATTGAAGCACTTTCGGGGAAGTTGGGTGCAGGGTCATCTCTGTATTGTATCGAAACAATATCTATTCGGCTTCGATTCTAAAGCAGAAATGCTTGCACACTCACCCAAGCTGTGGCATCTAATCCACCAAAAGTATAACTCATTAAAGAAAAAAATTTGCATACTATGTGGATCTGGTCATAGAAGGTCAGAATACCTGAAATCACTAATGTAATCTTAAAAGTCTTCAACTAAGTGAATTCGCATAAAATCCATGGGCATCTGAAATCGGGCACTGAAACCAATCTAGGGAAATACTGGAATTGGGAAGCTTTGTGAAGGGGTGAAGCAAACACACTGGACACAGCCCCAACCACCCAAACTGAAGATTTTAAATACTGGCTTCAAAATGGGAAAAAAGTAACAGATCTGGATTATTATCACTTGTTGAAAAAGATGAACCACAAAGACAAAACACAATTAATGGCTAGTATCAAGCTGATCAAACTTCTGTATGTTGGTTCATTTGTGTTTAATATATTTTCAGTACACAAATGTTTAAAATCTTTACCCTTTTAAAAAAGACGACTTAAACATACTTAGCAATTCACCATTGTTTGTGAGCAAAGCCCACCACCGACTGAATTCAAGAGTCAATTACATTGGCACCAGGAATCCAGCAAAGGTAGTCAACACATGGCACACCCCCACAGGGAAAAACCTTCCCTTAAATAGCTTGACCCACAAATGTAGCATTGCTTAATTTATAAATAGGAAGTGATGAGTAAGTCACTCTGGGTGCGTGTGCCACACTGCAGTCACTCAATTTCTCTTCTCTTTACCACATTTACAGCTTTACTGATCTGTTCCTATGATTTTCTGCTTCTTGCTTTGGTTCAGCAATTTGTTCTTCTTCTGTGATGATCCCTCAGTTCAAACCCTCCCTATTTGGACTTTAATAGGGCTTTTCGAAGGGTTCTACTTGAAGGGAAATTGCCTAATGGACATTTTTAATTCCGAGGCAATGCCCTCAGAGTTTGCAGTGTTAGGAATGCTACACAACCTAGGCTGCGCCAACAAGTTTTTGGCCATTGGAATAGCTAGGCTCTATTGACTAGGAAAAGAAATATTTTAAATTTTCAAGACACTTCAGCAGAAAGCTTAAAGAAGACAAAAAAGGAGGGCTGGTAAGATGAAAATTGCCATTGACGCCATTATTGAAAGTAACTTGGACAGGTTCAGTTCTGATAAAGCAGTATCTGAATAAACCAGAAGCATGTAGGAAATGTTAGTAGTCATGCTCATGTTGCAGTCATGGGTACTCATCTGGTGCTGCAAGTATTAAAGATGACATGTATGATTTACATAAACTGAACTTTCTAGTAAAATTTCTTGTGATATGTACGCTATCGCTATTTTGAATGGCAAATATTTACATGGTTAACAGGCAAAATCTTCTGTATCATTTTCCAACTTGAATTAGTACATCAGGCTTTTTTAAAACGTCAGAATATACCTACAGAAGGTAATCTCTGTTCTTTGAAAGAAGCTCATTTCACATTCCAATACCTTGAAATGCATACTTTTGTCATTCTGATACCTTTCCATTGTGAAGCAAGATATATTTGGGTAGCAGAGGCAGGTTGCAAATATTTTTTCATCTTTGCCTAAGTTTTGCACAGCAAAGCTGTTCCAAGTTTAACCATTGAATGTGTGAAACTACTATGTTGTAATGACATCAGTCTGCAGATATATCAGCAATAAGGACAGAGGACAAAGTATGTGTTCGGAAACATCAAGATCATAGAATCCCTACAGCATGGAAACAGGCCCTTCGGCCCCACACCGACCCTCAGAGCATCCCAGCCAGACCCATCCCAACACGACGGGCAATTTAGCATGGCCAATCCACCTAACCTGCACATCTTTGGACCGTGGGAGGAAACCAAAGCACCCGGAGGAAACCCACACAGACACAGGGAGAACATGCAAACTCCACACAGACAGTCGCCAAGGGGTGGAATTGAACCCAAGTCCCTGGCGCTGTGAGGCAGCAGTGCTAACCACTGAGCCACCGTGCTGAGTTAAGTAGCTTCTTTGATTACTAAAAGGACGAAAGATTATCAGGAACATGCAAGAATATAAAATGGAGGTTAAAATCAGCTCAGCTGTGATGTTATTGAATGGCAGAAGAGGCTCAAGTGGTCCAGTGGCTTACTCTTGTTCCTTGCTTATATGTTAGATTTAAGGGAGAGAAAAAGTATCTTTGTCGCAGAAAGTTCAGAACTGCAAAGATCACTGAACAATTAGCTAAAGAAGTCAATTTATGGATAATAACCCTTGCCTAAAACCTGCAGCGTGAAAATAAAAACCTTTGTTCTTGATGATGGAGGTCATCCGTAGGCAGAGGATGACATTTTAAATAAGTCAGAAGAGTGTACTGTACAGGAATTTCATTAGAACCTGATTCAGCAGTTTACTCCATCACCAGAATTGGTTATTCCATTCCAACAAGTTATTCACCTTTCAAGGTGAAGATAAGAGACAGCACATGCACTCTCGACTTACACAAAGACAGCAGAGGATGTGGTTCTTGGGTAAACCCCAAGAACTTCCTAAAGTAATTATGCAGTAGAATTATTTCTTAAAGCACAGCTACGCAAGTTATTCTCTCTCTTTACTGTACTATGACAAACTTTGATTGTGAGACTGAAGAACATATTTACATAGTGCCATACATGATATTATGCTTTACAGTCAATTAATGAATGCTGAAGTGGAGTCACAACTGTATTGTAGGCAGACAGGGTAATCAAAGTGAATAAAGCAAGATACCACAAACAGAAGGAAATTATCAGAGAGTATGAAGCTAATAAATGTTAGAGAGAAAGGGTGGCCAGGAGAATTAAATGCAAATTTTTTTTCCATCTATCCTCACCATAAAGGGGCCAAGTAACTTATCTGAAAAACAGCATCTCAACAAGTGTGAAAACCTCTTAGCATTACAATGTCTCCCTAGAATAAATATTTAAAATTTGTGCATAACATCGTTATGAGGCAGAAAACTGAGTTTATCACCAAATCAGGACTGACACCAGGACTTTATGGGGAAGCTGAATAAACCAAATTTGTACATTTTCTGATCAGATTAAAATCAGTGATTGTTAATATCTGGTTCAAAACAATAATAATTTAAGAAGAAACAGGAGCTGTCTAAAATTTAGGAGGAAGTTTAACTTATTTTAGTTGAAGCAGTTTTAAAAGCACGTGGACCATATTTACAGGACCTCTCAAAATCTGATTTGAAATAATTAGGCTTCACCTGCAAAATGCTGAGGAGATTGGTCATCTGGCACTGCATTGGAACCTCTGTTGCCTGTTGAAAGTCTTGTTACACAATGTGATTGTTTGGGGGAATCAGAAACCCACTTTGGAGTTACTACTGCATAACGTAGGAGCTCTTCATACTCATCCTTACAGGCAGATAAAAAACACATTTAGTGCCATAAAGTCATAGAAAATTCTATTTTTTTTCCAAAGTAACCACATCAGCACACAATAGAAAATAAAAACTTACAGCACAATTAACTTTAATTATAAAAGCAGAATATTCCAGGTATTGGAAATACTCAGTGGACTAGGCAATCCACTTCCGGTCTTGGATGATATAGTTGCTTAAATATTTCAAAACTAGATGTCAATATAATATTACAATAACATGCTCTTTACCATGGAGATGGAATTTGCAACCTCAGCAAATGCAGGTTGGCCATCTGCTAGGAATCTGAACAATGTTGTCTTTTACAGTTTTGCCACTCTTGTCAAAGTTAAAAGATCCATCCATAGTAATAAGTTGGGAAACACAATCACAGAAGCCTCAGTGTGGAAACGGGCCATTTGGCCCAACAAGTCCACACCGATCCTCTGAAGAGCATGCCACCCAGACCCATTCCTCTACCCTATCCCTGTGACCTTGTATTTGCCATGGCTAATCCACCTAACTTATACATCCCTGGACACTATGGACAATTTTGCACAGCCAATCCACCTAACCTGCACATCTTTAGACTGTGGGAGGAAACCAGAGTACCCAGTGGAAACCCAAAGACAGGGGGAGAATCTGCAAATTCCACACAGTCGCCCGAGGGTGGAATCGAACCCGGGTCTCTGGCGCTGAGGCAGCAGCGCTAACCACTGAGCCACGTTGATGGGATGTAGGCATCACAGATTAGGTCAGCCTTTATTTCCCATTACAAATTCCCCTTGAAGTGGTGGTGGTGGTAGTGATGGCAATCTTGAACCACTGCACTCGCTTTACCCTCAGAACATCAAAGTGCTGTTATGGAGAGAGTTGCAGGATTTTATCTTTGTGACACTGAAGAAATTTTGAGTCAGGATAGTGAGTGGCTCAGAAGGGCCATGCTTCCATGTATCTGCTGCCCTTATCCTTTTAGATGGAAGTGGTCACAGGTTAGTAAGGTGCTTTCCAAAGAGTCTCGGTGAATTTCTGCAGCATATCTTACAGATGGTACACACTGTTGCTACTGTGTGTAAATGGCAGAGGCAATTAATGTTTATGGGTGCATCATTGCAAGCAGCACTCAAAATAAGTAGGGCTGGTTGGCAAATTCAGTCCTCAAAAGCCCCAGTGATCCTGAAAACTGGTCAGGGGTATACCAGAGAACTGTGGAATGGGCAAACACTAGATGTAGAATGACAAAATTCTGAAAGAAGAAATTCGTCTAATCATAGGGAGGCAGCAAAGGGGAATGTTGAAGCAAGTTTGGATGGAGAGGACAGACCGAGGTTGACTTCAAAACAAATAAGGTGGGGAGGGTAATAAAAGAGGAAGGGAGGATGCCAAGGGGAACAAACAGTCTTAAATCCGTCAACAATAAAAAGGAAAACTGAGCGAACTGGAATCAAGAAACTAACAGTACTACTGGCATTTCAAACAGCATAACCAGCAAATGATGGATTGACCCAAGCAGGTCCAAAACCAACAGATCAAATTCATGCTCTGCAGTTCTGCCACATCCTATCACGATGATGGACAATGAAACAACTAACCAGAGGCATATCTCTGCAAATAACCCCACCCTCACTGATATGTGAACCCTGTACTTCACCTCAGTATCACGCACCTGCCAGTATCCAGAGAATTTGATTTATTGCATGTGATATTGAGACATGACTGAAGATACTGCAAGGATTTGCCCCTGACAAAATTCTGCTGGAGGGGAGGGGAGAGCGATCGCTCCTGACATCAAGGCAGTGTTTGACCCCTGATTGGAAAAGCAGTTTCTTTTAAAATGTTGCCATTCTACATGTGGTATCAAGCAGGTTCCTGCTCGGCAGCATCGTGGGTTCACCAACACCAAATGCACTTTGTAGGAGACGATGCCCTAGTGGTATTATCTCTGGACTGTTAATCCAGAGACTCAGATAACATTCTGGGGACCAGGGTTCAAATCCCGCCATGGCAAATGGTGGAATTTGAATTCAATAAATATCTGGAATTACGAATCTAATGATGATTGTGAATCCATTGTCAATGGTCAGGAAAAATCCATCCGGTTCACTGATGTCCTTTAAGGAAGGAAACTGCCATTCTTATCTGGTCTGGCCTACATGTGACTCCAGACCCACAGCAATGTGGTTGACTCTGAACTGTCCTCTGGGCAATTAGAGATGGGCAATAAATGCTGCTTAGCCAGTGATGCCCTCATCCCATGAATGAATAAAGAAAAAAGTAGTATCCACTAAAAGGAACACCTTCTTAAACAGTGACCCAATGGTTCCTGCTTCTCCTATGAGTGGAAACATTATCTCCATATCCACCCTGTCAAAACTGGCGTTAATGACTAAGGACAGTGCTGATTGGTTGGCAGAGGCATTGTTGTGGAGAAAGTAGTGCTTTATGAAGCACGACTGGTAACTGCTAAATTTTGTTTAAATTTTAAACAAGGCTGGATCACTTGGATTGGTTAATGCTTTGCCTAAATTCTAAAGGTCCTATTCTGTTGAATTGAAACAGGTGTAGTGAGTGTACATGTTCTTCCTTGGGGCGAGCCTGACTGACAATCCGGAATGGGCTGCCAGTGAAATTTATTGCTGACTCGTATTATTTAGCAAATGTTGTCCAGAACATCTATTGTCAGACAGGGTTTAGACACTGCGCAGGCTGTTGCAAACAGAAGTGCTAGGTTATTTGACACAATTGGCCAGACTTTGGGACGTACAGACTACATGCCCAGCTCCACACCAGCATCAAAATTTGTATATTACATTCCTGGTCTGCACAATAGGCAGAATGTCTTTTTTTGTTCTGAAAGTGCCCAATTTAAACTTAGATTCAGGATAATGTTTCTCGAAAGTTTGAGCAACAGGCTAAGCTAGCTGTTTCACATTGCTACTATGCAGAATGAGTCAAAGTGGCAGGGGTGATGGGTAATTAAAACTTGAAGAACAGAAGGACACAGGTAACAGAATCTGTAATAAAAAGCTAAGCTAATGGGGACAATGTAGGCACCGTCTACTATTGCTAAAAAAATCCGATTCACTAATGTGCTTACCTGGTCTGGCCTACCTGCAGCTCAATACTCACTACCATGTGGTTGACTCTTAGCTAATCTTTGTGCAATGAAAGCTGGCCTTGCCAGTGCCATGCACATTGTATGAACAAGTAATAGTGCTGAAACAAAATGCGCTTTTTCTCCCCAAGCAATACACAAAACCTGCGCTACCAAACACCTATTCTTTTTAAATATTTAAAATGTTTAATTATGTTTATCTTTAGGTACTCAAAAATGAAATTCCACTTCCCTACCTGTAGACCAGAAGAAACTGAACTACCTCGATCTGAATCTTTGGGCAGTACAGGGCTGGAAATCCTTTCTTCATCAGAGGACATCTGCACAAGAGAAAGCAATCAATTTTTTTCTGAGTACTAACCTAGGCCCAGAAGAGAAACAATAAAATCAATACAATTTCAATAATATCTGTTTACTATTTCAGTCTTCTTCTGATCTGCGAAGTATTAATCTTCCTGACCTCAAATTTAACCTGAGCCACCCTCCCCCAACAGATATTATGTTAACATACTTCTTGCAATCACAGACACAATAAGATGGCTCACGAGAGACAATTCCCCTATTCTACATACATTGCCATTTAAAAGGATGTACGAAGTGTGAATCCAAACCTATTCTTTAAGGGTATTTTCTTCAAAAATTACAGCACAATGAGCACAGCTTTTTTAAAAAAACCTTAATAAGTAAATACTTCAAAGGAATTTAATAGGGTCATGATCCAGCTCACCAAAATCAAAGTCTAGTTTTTTTTTTTAAAAAGTCTAGTCAAGTTACGAGTTTTCTTAACATTATATCGATTTTCACATTGAGGACAAATTTCTAGCTCAAAATGGTATGAGTTTGGCTACTTCTGATTTTATCCTAACGGAATAAATTAATGTAAACTTAAACTACTTCAGTAGAACATGCTGCTAACAGACAATCTTACTTCAGCTACATTTACAATTGTACAGTTTTAAAAACACACCAAAGTCTTTGTCAATCCACTGACATGCTTACTAAATTAGTTGAGATTTTCAACTCTTTACATTAAGGAACCTTATTAAGAGCTTCTGAAACTAAGAGCATGAAGCAGCATATTTCTTCCAGTTCTGATATTATGTAGGTAGTGCCAGAACACAGGTAGCAGGTTTCATTAAGAAAAAACATAATTTATAATGTTAATCTTTCTCCATGAAAGCCAATCAAGATACATCTATATAGCAACTTTCAAACAGTGAAACATCCTAACTTATGGGAAGGTAAGCAGACAAAAATAAACTAATGGTAACTAAACAAGGAATCACTAGGAAAGGTTTTTAAATTTATTATATAATGGAATGAGAATCATTGGCATTTATTGCCCATCCATAATTGCCCTAGAACAGATTAGCTTGCTAGAGAAGGGCTCTTAAGAGTGAACCGCATCATTGTAGGATCTGGAGTAACATGTAGGCCAGACAAGGCAAGGATCGTAGATTCTCTTCCTCAGAAAGACACAAGTGAACTAAGAACACAAGTAATAGAAGTCCATTCAGCCTCTCAAGTCTGCCCCACCAGTCAACAAGACCACAACTGATCTGCCCATGGTATCAACCCCATTTTTGTGCCAGCTCAGTATAGCTGTCAATCCGTGATATTTGAAAAGTCTATCTACCTTGTCTTTAAATACTTCCAGTGATCTAGCATCCACAATTCTCTAGGATAGAAAACCTCAGACATTACTACTATCTGTGAAAAGAAATTAATTCAAATTTCACTTCTAAATGAGTAACCCCTTATCCTGTAAGTATCTCTTATTCAAAAGATCTTCTCAATATCTACCCTGTCCTTGATAAGTAAACCCCTTCATCCCAGGAATCAACTTTGAATCTCCTTCTATGCCAGTATAACCTTTTTAAACATACACGGACCAAAATTGTACACAGTAGAATAAAGTTAATGTTTCAAGTCCAATATTAGTCTTTTCCAGTTACGTCTTATTGGTCTAGAGCCAATAACTTTTTCACTCTAGATGCTGCCAGACCTGCTGAGTTTTCCAGCATTTTCTGATTTATTTCAGATTTCCATCATCCCAGTATTTTACTTTCATTCAGCAAAATTATCATGCATTAAATATTAATAGTCAGTCATAGAAGTTAACACATAGACCTTCCATGCTCACCTAAAACATACTTCCTCAATACAAGTCAGTTTCTATGTAGGCACAATCCACTCATGAGAAGGAAATTTGTATCAGGACACCTATAGATTAAGTGAATAGGTATAACTGTAGTAGATGGAGATCAAATTAAGGAACTGTTTTTACGTCAACCAGAGTCTAAGATATCCTACTATCTTACAAAAGCAAGCAGTCAAGATGCTGCTGGGTTGGATGCTCTGAGGGTCGGTGTGGACTTGTTGGGCCGAAAGGCCTGTTTCCACAGTGTAGGGATTCTATTCTATGATACCCGCTGAGCTTTTCCAGCAACTTGTTTTTGTTCCTGATTAACAGCAGCCGTAGATCTTTCAGTTTTTGCTTCATAAGGAGCAGGCGGCTTGAACACTGGGCCTGACCGTCGGGAATGAAGTTCGACCCGCGGCCACCACCGCCGCCGCCTTATTGTTAACGGGACTGCGAGCTTCAGATGAAGGACCCAGGAGATTTAACCGAGCTCAGTTTCACCGTGACTGAATCAGCGACCACCCTTACCATGTCCACCGACCGCCGTTCCTTACCTCCGTCCGTGCTCCCTCCTAAACCGTTTCAAACGGACCGCACGCTAATAACCGCCCAAACTATTGGAGGCTCAGACCAGCAAGGCCCACCCTGATTGGTTTAGCCTCCAACACCAACGTTGAACCGTCTTGTGCGCGGATTGGATGGAGCTCCCGGCGTGCATGTGGTTGCCATGGCGCAGAGACGCGGAAATCTCACCCCCGATTGGCTGAGCGTCTCACCCACCCCGTGCACGGGAATTAGCGGGTGATCAGAAGCTTCTTGAGATCTGCGCTTTGTCAGGGGATGGTGGATCATTTCTTGGCACTGACTATTCAAAAAAAGAAAATTTCCATTGTCCTAGCCATTTTTAATTTAAAAAAAAACCCTGTAATCAAAAATAAGTTAACTGATCCACTCATTGTTCGGAGAGCCTAGCAGGGAAGATGGTGCAGGAGCACTGGCAGGAATTTCTGGGAGTAATTCAGGAGACACAGCAGAAATTCATCCCAAGGACGAAGAAACATGTGGGGGTGGGGGTAGGTGATGAAGCAACCATGACTGACAAGGGAATTCAAGGACAAAGTAAAAGTAAAAAGAAAAAGCATACAATGTGGTGAAGATTAGTGAGAAGTCAGAGGCTGGAGAAGTAGTAAGGGGGGGGCAAAGAAATGGTGGAGGAGATATATTACATCAGTTTTCACAGTGGAAGACACCAACAATATACCAGAACATCGAGAGAGTCAGGGGCAGAGATGAGTGTCGTGGCCACCGCAAAGGAGAAGTTGCTGGAGAAGCTGAAAGGTCTGAAGACCGATAGATCACCTGGATCAGATGAGATTGAGGAATACTTGGAAGTTCATGGTAGAATAGGGCAGAGTCAGCACAGCTTTGTCAAGGGGAGGTCATGCCTGACAAATCTGTTAGAATTCTTTGAGGAGGTAGTGAGCAAGTTAGACAAAGGACATGATCTATTTGGATTTCCAGAAAGCCTTTGACAAAGTGCTGCATAGAGGGCTGCTAAATAAGGTAAGAGTCTGTGTTAGAGGCAAGGCACTGGGATGAATAGAGGCTTGGCTAACTGACAGAAGGCAAAGAGGGATAAAAGGGTCTTTCTTAGGATGGCAGCTGGTGACTAGTGGAGTTCCATAGAGGTCCGTGTTGACACAACAACTATTAATGTTATACATTAATGATCTGGACGAAGGAATTGAGGGCATTCTTGCTAAGTTTGCAGATGACACAAAGTTAGGTGGAGTGACAGGCAGTGTTGAGGAAGTGGGAATACTGCAGAAGGAAATAGCAAGAGAGGCAGATGCTGAAGTCAGAGTCAATACAGTGTGGAGCTGGATGAACACAGCAGGTCAGGCAGCATCAGAGGAGCAGGAAAGTCAATGTTTTGGGTTTATTCCCTTCAGGATTGCAGAAGGACTTGGAACAGGCTTGGAGAATGGGCAAAGAATTAACGGATAGAATACAATGTGGTTATGCACTTTGGTAATAAAAGAGGCATAGACTATTTTCTAAATGAGGAATGACTTTGGAAATCTGAAGCACAAAAGGACTGGCAGTCTTAGTTCATGATTTTCTTAAGGTTAACTTGCAGGTTCAGCGAGCAGTTAGGAAGCCAAATGCAATGTTAGATTTCATTTTGAGACGGCTAGAAAACACGAGCAGAGATGTACTGTTGAGGCTGCAAAGGCTCTGGTCAAACTGCATTTGGAATATTATGAATGGTTTTGGGCCCCGTATCTCAAGAAGGATGTGCTGGCATGGGTACAGAGAAAGTTTATGAGAATGATCCCGGGATGAAGGGCTTGACATATGAGAAGAGGTTGAGGACTCTGGGTCTGTACTTGAAGGAGTTTAGAAGGATGAGGGGGGAATCTCATAGAAACTTACAGAATACTAAGAGGCCTGGATAAGAGTGGATGTGCAGAAAATGTTTCCACTAGTGGGAGAGGCTAGGATCTGAGGGTACAGCCTCAGAATGACAGGATGACCTTTAGAACTGAGATGAGGAGAAACTCTTTTCAGCCAGAGGGTGGTTAATCTGTGGAACTCATTGCCACAGAAGCCTGTGGAGGCCAAGGCATTGAGTGTATTTAAGACACAGACAGGTTCTTGATTAGTAAAGGGAGAAGGCAGGAGAATGAGGTTGAGAAACATATCAGCCATGATTGAATGGTGGTGCAGATTCAATAGACTGAATGGCCTAATTCTGCTCCTACGATCTTATGGTCTACTGGAAAGTAAACCAATAGAACTTTTCTGCCAAAAGCAAGATAAACCAATGAAAACAGCATAAAATTGTATAAAAACAGTATTAGTCACATTAGAATATTCTAAAATAGTAAAGAATAAGAGCAAAGTCAAAAAAGGTAGAAAAGAGAAATGCATACCTCTGCAAAATGTCACACTGGCATATTCAATCAATGTTGCAGTAATCTGGTTTATCTCCCAGCTCATTTTCCTGTAAGGGAGCAAGAACAAATTTGTATAGAGCAAGATGGATGGCAAATGTAAACATACACCTTCTCTCCTACTCACCTAACTCTCTACTGACCAAACTCCAGAGACTTGCACTCAACACACTGCTTCACTGGGGGGGGCGGGGAGTGAGAATGACAGCAAACTTGCAGGAGCATAAACTTTGACTATAAATGCTTCTATTATGATATGAAGAGAGCATTATTAGTAAAGACAAACATTACAGTCAGAAATGAGGGCAATGATAATGGGGAACAAAGAAACAGCAGGAGAATTGATCACATACATTGGTTCTGTCTTCACAAAAGAGATCACAAATAATTTCCCACAAATCTTGGGGAAACCAAGTGTCTAATGAAAGGGAGGAATTGAAAAGAAATCAGTGTTTTTAAACTAAATGGGTTAAAGAGAGACAAGTTCTCAGGTCCTGATGACCTGTGTCCAGAGCACCGATAGAAAGGGCCCTGAAAATATTGGATGCATTGGTGGTCATCTTCCAAATTTCTATAGATTCTGCAGCAGTTACTACAGATTTGAAGGTGGCAAATGTAACCCAACTATTTAAAAAGAGAAGGGAGAAAGAAAAGCGGGCACAGATTAAGAATTGATTCACAAACCAGAAACAGAGGTTGGGAATAAATCTGTTTTTTTCCAGGTAAACGGTGGTAATTAGTAGTGTACCACAGGGATTGAATGAGGGAACCAAAAGCAATGTTTCCACGTTTGTTGAAAAAAAACTAGATGAGATTTTGAGCTGTGAGGAAGATGCAAAGAATCTTCAGGTCCATCGAGAGAGAATAATTGCGAGGGAAAACAGATGGCAGAATAACATGTCTAAATATGAGCATTTATACACTTTGGTGTGAAAAACAGAAAGAAAGAATGTTACTTAAATGCTGAAATACAGGGAAATATGTATGTACAAAGCGACTTTGTCATTGTACACCATTCAATGAAAGTAAACAGACAGGTACAGCATGAACCTAGGAAAGCAAATTGGTCATTGGTAGAGGATTTTAGTTCAGAAGTTAGGATGTCATAGTACAGCTGTCCAGGGCCTAATACCTGAGCATTGTGTGCCGTTTTGGTGTCCCTGCCTAAGGGAGGCTATGTTTGCTGTAGAGAGAGTGCAGCAAAGGTTCACAAGACTGAAACTGGGGTTAGTAGGACTGTCATATGAGGAGAAATTGGTTTGACTGGTTCTGTTTTTACTAGAGTTTAGAAGAATGAAAGGTGATCTGATTGAAACATATAAAATTCTGATGGGACTAGAAAACTAGATGGAAGAGGTTATTTTCCTTAGTTGGGAAGTCCAGAACCAGGGGTTTCAGTCTCAGTAGGCCATTTAGGACAGAGATGAGGAAACATTTCTTCACTTAGAGGGTGGTCAACCTGTGGAATTCACTAACACAAAAGCTGAATCATTGAGCATATTCCAGAAAGTTTGATAAATTTTTAGTTATTAAGGACCACAAGGGAGAGCAAGAGGGTATATGGCATTGAGTTAGATAATCAGCCACGATCATATTGAATGGTGGAGCAGGCTCGAAGGGTTGAATGGCCTTCTCCAGCTCCTAGTTTCTATGTCTCTATAGAGTTGCTAAGCTTACAGGGACAAGCTATCATAAAAGGGATGATCTTGCAAAGTGATTGGCATTTCAGAAATTAGTCAGGAAATGGTAAGAAATGATGACGATAAGATGACCACAACTTTTAAAGAAAATAATCATTGTGCAGACATTACCTAGCCAATTCAAGATTCACAATGAGCTGTTCATGTGCTGCACATGTGTTGCCACGACAATTACGGTTCAGGGTGTCTCTGATCATGCACAGGCATAAGTTTAATAAGTGGTCCAATTGACAAGAAAGAAGACTGGGCACAGAAGGAGAGATTTGGTGGGCATAAGAGAATAAGAGACCTGTACCCAGTCAATCAGTGACATTGCAAAGTGGATTGACTGGAAACCATTGTTGTTATGAAGTATTATTTATTTTGTAGTCTGCATGATAAGCTATATAAATTTGGTAAAACCTGTGAAAATATATTTGTACCTGAAATTAGGCTTATAACTAATCAGGATGAGTTAACTGTAGATTGACTCTTTCAAAGTCAGTCTATAAATGTAAGCGACTTAGGACTACAATTCAAGTTAAAGTGACACCCAAAATCTTAAATATGGATCAAGAAACAAATAGAGGAAGAGCTGAATTCTCCAAGGAGGTCAGCAGTTTGGGATTGCCACTGGGCTCAGCTTTTAAATGGGTGAATTCGCTGAGCCGCAAATCTGCACACTGCTCTAAGTCCTAATTCTGTCTCTTGGAGTATGACTGTTTTAGGAAAAACCTGAGGCAAGTTCTTTTCTACATCCTGATGTTTCGGGGAGCTACACTACAATTTAATGCAACAGCTAATGCATTATGACTGGCAATGTCTTCTCGGGAATTTGACAAGTTTTCATTTAAGGGACTGTAGTGGCGTGACACTCACCATTTGTTGCCTGTGTTTCTTCCAGATCCTGATGACTCTGT